CAGGTCCATGCCGTGCCTCAGGTCCATGCCGTGCCGCAGGTCCAGGCCGTGCCTCAGGTCCAGGCCGTGCCACAGGTCCAGGCCGTGCCTCAGGTCCTGGCCCTGCCTCAGGTCTTGGCCATGCCTCAGGTCCAGGTTGGGCCGCAGGTCCAGGCCAGGCCACAGGTCCAGGCCGTGCCTCAGGTCCAGGCCGGGCCGCAGGTCCAGGCTGTGCCTCAGGTCCAGGCCGGGCCGCAGGTCCAGGCTGGGCCACAGGTCGAGGCCATGCCACAGCTCCTGAACTATGTGGATGTTGGAGAACACTCAACCCATGCTGCGACAGGTAATTTGGGGATTTTATGTGGAGGAGAGGGAGGAAGGTTGTTTGTTTTTGTATTGAGAGGGCAATGCTACTCCACATTGCACTTGGCATGAAACCCCTCATTACCCAGCGAAAATAGACCACTCTGAGAAAGAGGATGAGGAGGAACAGTTATCTCAGAATAAAGCAAGTTAGGGGAAGCGGCATTAGAACCCAATAAACTAATGATCCTGCTCAGAACTGTTGCATAAGGAGTGTAATTCTCCCAAGAAAACTATGAGAAATACTCTAGATAAAAATCCATTTCCTTGAGCCAATTTTAATTATTGGGGTCTTCGATGTTGTGATTCGTGAGAAGTTTTTATTACTCTTGAGCCTTCTCATTTGCTTCTACATGATCTGAGTTTCAAAAAACTTGACTCTTGCCATAGTTTCACACTCTCTTCAAAAACTTGAAAGGAATTAGATTATGTTAGACATATCAATAATCCTAAACTGAGAGTGTTGAGAAGAGTAATTCTCAAAAGTGCAAGAGGCCAACTGTCAGCGTCCCAACTCCCTGGGGTGCACGTGTCACAAGCTAACCAGGTAAGAGAGAAACAGCCTAAATACACACTGGCCGGTAGGATAAGATGAGAACTGGAAGGAGAATGTCCAGATGGGGAAAGGCAGCTCCAGGTCTGGTGCCTGCTAGGTTCCACTTTCCCATGGGATTTTCTTACATTATTTTTCCCCAGCTTCCTAGACTCTGTGTTTGCCTTCAAAGTCCCAGTACATCTGGGCTGAAAACAACTACCTCAGAGCTTTAGGCACAGCTATAACAAGCAGGCTGGAACTTTGAAGAGACCGTAAGATATTAACTAAACAGTAAAGTGGAAATAGGGGAGAGAGACGCAAGTTCTAAAATCCAGGTTTCCCATCCATCCACAACTAGGTCAATGCCAGCACTCAGCAACTTTGTCCCTTTCCATGTCTTTGCATTTGCTCATTGGGAAAATATATATATGAGCTCTTCTTAAGAACTCAGCTCTGCCTCTGTCCCTCCCTCAGGGAGGAGGTCAGTTCTGCACAGGGTATATGAACTGTTTATGGCCAGGCCCTGGTTCAGTACCAGTCTCTGACCATCAGTGGTACCCAAGATTGATGCAGCCCTTCTGGAGTCTGAGGAAGGAGTGAGATAAGTTATTAAGAACTTCACAGTGATGTAGTGAATGGAGTAGGATACTGGCTGAGTGCACAGGAGGGCAGTCTTCAGTTAGAGAGGGAAGGTTTTGTTTGGAGTTAAGATTTTAGCTTCTAACTTGTAGGATGAGTAGGAGCTAACCTCATGAGTGATGGAGTGGGGAGGGAAGAAGTTTCTAGAGGAAGGGCCAGGATCTACTCAGGAAGGGCAAAAAAAAAAGTAGAAAGTATGTTACCTTGGCTGCAGTTTGAGGACCAGAGCATGGGTAGTGGAGAACAGATAAATCTGGAAAGAGAGGCAGACACCCAAATCTCTCTATCATTAAGTCAAAACCAATTTATAGCTGAACCTTGTGGAATTTTGGGAGGCTGCAAATCTACCCACAGAGCCATCTTTCAGGGAGGCTGCAAGTCTCCCACAGAGCAATCTTTCTCCTGCAGAGCTCTGGTAGATTCAAACTGCAGGAGAGGCAGAGGCTTAAGATAATAAATCACAGTTTCAAAAAAATATGCAAAGTAAAATAAATCCTCAAAGTACCCTTTAAAATAGCCAGGAGAATGGTTTAAAACAGGGTAAGAGATTAAATCGTTTTTTAAAAAGCCTTTAAAATAGCCAGGAGAAAGGCTTTAAAACAGGATAAGAGATTAGATCTCAGCTGTGGCTCAAGTCTGTTATGATATGCTAGAATGCATTGTCCAAATGTGGATCCTTGGGTGAATATTTTTCCTTTTGATCCTCTCTATTCAACAGACTTCCTTGTTTGAGACATCAATTTTCAGAGCATTTTATCACCCCAAACAAACTCAGTATTCATTTTGTAAATAACTCCTGACTCTCTCCCCTCCCACTCATAAATTTTTGTCTCCTTTCTAGCCTATAGTAGATATAAGTGGGATCTTACAGAATTAAGTTTCTCTACTACCATAGATACTACCATAGGAGTATGTGATCAAGAGGGGCCAATCCCTGGAGAAGGTCATTATGTTTGGTCAACTAAAGAGAAGTCCCTGAACTAGTGACTCCAGCAGTGGGCTTAAACAAGGCCAATGCTGTGAGGATGGCACGTGATTTTTCTACTGTACACACTACCGGTCAAAGACAATTCATCAGCCTCTAACAACATCAATTCAGGAAAAGATCTTTGAATTGAGAAAAACATCTTCCCTTCACTTTTAGTTTGTTCTTAAATTTATAAAAAATGCCTTTTTGGGTCACTAGGTGAAGTCAATCTAATTGAAGTAGTATTTACACTCTTAGGCTACTTTTCAAGGAAAAAAAAAGTCAGCCTAAATTGCAGAAAAAGCAGTAGGAACTCAAACTGTCATGCTTCTATTTTTCTTCTGTCCAGGATATTCAATACCAAGCCCCGAGCTGAATTTCATATTGGACCACAGTAAAGAGCCAGAGGAATTAAAAGACAAAGACATAAAAGAAATACTTGACTCCATTATGGGTAAGTGACTGTAAACCGAAAACTAGACAAAGAAAGAATAGAGAGGGGAAATCAGCCTTTTTTCAGAGGACAGATGCTTGGGATTCCACATAAGCTTTTTTATTTACAATAGTTTGGTACTTTGAAGAGGTTGTGAAATACAAAGAATAAAGTTGTTATTGTTGTTGCTGTGTGCGTTTGAGTCTGAACGACTCATAGCTGATGCACCAGTAGCTTTTAAGAGTCACACAGAACGAGATTTCCCATCCTTCTCCTGCGAAGCAGCTGGTGGATTCAAACTGTGTGCCTTTGGGATTGCAGCACAGCTTCTTAATACTAGGTCACCAGAGCTCAAGAATATAGTAGAACCAATGAAAGTCATCAAAATAAGGTTGAGTAGAGATAATCAAGACAGCTACTTTAATATACATTATAATGCATATGAGAAAAGAACTCTTGTATAATATAAAGTGCTTTCTGTGTTGCACTGCCAAGTGAAAACTTACTGGTTCAAGTCCACCTGCTGCCCTGAGGGAGAAATATGGACACTCTTCTCCTTTAAAGATGGACAGCCTCAGAAACCTCAAATCTACTCACTGCTCTGTGGGAGATCAGTCTCCTCCAGTGAGATTTACAGCCTCTGAAAACTCGCTGGGGTGTCAACTATGAGTCACTTCCAACTCAGAATCTCAATCTTTCTCTCTCTCTCTCATTTCAAACCCATTGCTGTTGAGTTGGATCCAACACATAGTAATCTTTTATCAGGTTTCCAAGGCTATAAATCCTCAGCGGAGGAGTGTCATATTTCTCCTTGTGAAAGCCTGGTGGGTTCAAATCGCTGCCCTTTTGGTTAGCTGCCTGATTAGTGACTTACTGCGCTCCCAGGGCCTTTCACACTCTTTCTCTTATCTTTCTACGTACCCTCTCCTCCCTTTCTCTATCTGTCTTTCCCTTCCCCTGATCCCCCCGCCTCCTCTCCTTCACCACTCCCTCCTTTCACTCAAAACTGTAGAACTAATGTAGTTCACTGACATCAACACATAGAGTCTGTTTCTCTGCTTCCCACAGTTCAGGAAAATACCTTTGAATAGAGGCAAAAAAAAGATATTTCCCTTTCATTTCCATTTGGTTTCAGGGCCTCTAGGTTAAGTAATTGGAAGCAGGAGTGCCATTCACCTCCTAAACAACATGCCTCCAGAAACTCTGCGAACTTTAATAAATGTTGGTAGTTGTGGAGGGGCTTCAGGCCTTTTTGTTCATAGGCTCGCTATGAGTCGTGCTCGACTTGAAGGAAATCAACAATAGGTGAAGTAAATCTAATTGGGAGGTATAGACACCATCAGGCTATTTTCAAGAAACCAGTCTGAATGGCAGAAAAACCAGTAGGGACTCACACTAGCATGTCTCTGTCTGTTTTGACCAGAAAATCCAGAGCTAAACCCTGACCTGA